TTTAAACACTTTTGACGCGCCCTCTCATCGAACTAAGGTATTTAATATATATATATATTAATTAATTTTGTATATATTAATTAATTTTTGTAACCTAACAGTAAATAACTTTTTTTCTGTTATTAGTGTATGTGATAGATGAAATATAAATTCCAATAAATGATCAGCATTATGGAGCATACATACAATGTTATTTTTCTTATTAATAGAAATATTATCAGTTTAAAAAAACGCCATAAGATGATGTTACAGATACAGTTAACAAAAATCGGGCAATGTATTTCAACCTTGTTTGGTGTTAATTTCGAAAAGCAGTTGAAAACTAACTCTAAACACTGGGTTTCGACACCCATCGTGGACACAGTACAGTTAGTTCATTGTGTAGCTTTGTGCATAATGAAAAACAAAAAATTAAAAAAATGCTGATAATAGTTTATATAGATTAAATTACTACTGGATTTTTACCATTTTTAAATACATATTTCATATTAAAAATCAATTAATCAAACTTTATAGGAATATTTGGAAGCGTCCTGATGTATAAATTAACATTTGACCACAACAATTAACATGCACAAAAGACAACCAAGCTAAACTAAAGGGTTTAACCATATAAAGATGTAATATTGAAAAGGGGTAAGTTATATACAATTGAAAACCCACACTTAAAGAAAACTTGGTTGCTGTTTTATATTAATGTTACTGCTTATTTCAGTTGTAATAGAAAAAGGGAGTTGGGACCAGGTATTCCACAATTTCTTCTTGTTACATATATTCACTTTTTCATTACATCTTTACAGAGTCTGCCCTTTTATATACCTTGCCTCAGTTTTTATGTCATTTCTTTATATGGCTGACCCTTTTACTACAACTTGACTGTTTTGCGCATGTAAACATCTTTTAATCTCTGGTTTATTGTTTTGGTTACAATTTTCAACAACACAAAACTTGAATTTAATGAAAATTTATTATTCTTTTTAAGCCGCATACATATACACTTATTGCTGTAAGCCAAATTTTCAATGTTGTAATTCAGGTGTTACCTAGAGAGCGCTATGTTTCGTAATGATGACGTTAAGATCTAACTAGTTCCATTGCCAACTGCAGAGCTCTTTTTTTTAAGGATGTACACCTACCTTGCATCAGTCTAATTCTTGTATTTTCGTCTATTATGGTAGCTATAAATTAACCACATGCCAATGAATCCATCATTTCACGAGAAGTGTCTGGGTGAGATAATTGGATAAGCCTTTTTTAATCTTCTATAAGTTTGGATAATGTCCCTTCTTTCTTCTGTACTTTGTTCTGGAACATTGCTCTGGATACTTCTTTCTAGTGTAACACTCCACATCTGTTGGATAAGGTAGCTACCAATGCTTGAGAGTTTTTATGGATCTACACTGTAATGATACTTAATGTTATCAAAGCTGATTTTTGAATGGTCAACAAGATGAATAACTTATTATTTACTATTCTACCCCTTCACTTTTGAAATTATTTCAAACTGACACTGGTATGACTCCCATGGTATCTTTTCATTATAGTCAATTGTTTTTCACTGGTTATGAGCTGGTCAGTTAAACTCTAGAAATGGATTTGGTAGTGTTATGGTTGGAGTAGTCCAAGAGGTCCTTCAGTAACAGGTGGTATAGCAGTAATGGTAATAGATGTAGACCAAATAAGTTTTCCTATTTCATACTTTCCTATTCCAGGTATTTTATTCTGTCATTTGTGTTCTTTTCTATCTCTTTGGTGTCTTTCTTTACTTCATCAATTTTGCCATTACAGCCTAACTGTACTTCTTTGCAATTCTTTTACATTTTCTCAAACTTGCTGTTGTAATCTTCCTGTACATCTCCCATAGTTTCATTGATCTTGTTTTCAATCAAATTTATTTTGATTTTAATTCTTTTTTAACTAGCTTGTCCTTTTCTTTTAACGCTTCCCTTAAATTTCTGTCATGTTCTTCCTGATCTTTTAATTTCGTATCTCTTTCTTCTAATTTTCTGTCTCCTTACTCCTGATTTTCCTTAATAATTTCACTACCTCAAGTAATGCTAAGATCTCACTATTCAACTGTATGGTTATCATCTTAAATAGTTAAAGTTCTTAACTAACTTTTTAATGTTTCACTTAGCCCCATATATATATAACCTACCCTAAATTTACTAGAATCTTTGATTGCAAACTTTTAGAATTTTCAGGTGTCCTAAGCAGATAAAAAGCTAAAATCGACATCCCAAAGTTATGAGATTGTCAGATTGAGTATTGTTGAAACGTCAACTCATGCTTACAATAATCTAGAAGAACAAAAAGGATCCGTTAGCCAGCTATTTACACAGAACAGAGGAAATAAACAATAAGACAATAACTTGAAAGAAAAATATTGCTAGAAACTATAGACATAAGTTTCTAGGGAATAATAACTCCTCTCAAAAGATACCTGGAAAAGGAACTGTTATAGTTGTGGTAAACGTGGCCATTACATCAGAGACTGTGAATAATCAACAGCCGTTAAGACACCAAGAGCACAATACCCCAAAGATGAGTATTTGAACTCAACCAGATTGAAGGAACAACAAAGAGCTCAACGTACATCAGGAAACAGGAATTAACTAATATTATGTGGCAAAGCTCAGCTGAGAATACACCATCTACCCCAAATGTAGGAAAGATGTAGGAACTTCAATGTCAAATCTTTACAAGAATTGTATGAGAGGAGCTATGAGGGCCTTACAATAAGTCAGTGCCAGAGGTTACATAATTTGCTATAGAATATCAAGACATCTTTTCTAGTGAATTTCATAGCTTAAGCCAAACAAGTAAAATGTACAACAAAACTGATATTAGAGATGCAGCCCCAATTCGTCAGTTAGTAAGATGACTCCCCCTTTAAAAACAGGCTGAGAACTTCAAAGAGAAAAGCCGTGAAGGAACGAGGAGTGATAAAACCAAGTATTAGTCCCTGGGCATCATCTACTTGTACTTGTGAAGAAGGATGGATCCACAAAGCTCAGAATAAACTGCTAGAAGGTGAACGAAGTTACAAAAAGGATGCCTGCCAAAGTTTTACTCTACTTTGGATGTTCTGTTTAGAGTAAAATGGTTTTCAACATAGATTCTTAAGAGTGGATATTGGTAAGTGCAGATAGATAAAGCAAGTAGAGAGAATGCAGCCTTTACTATGGGAAATGGATTGTGGTAATTTGCTTGTTACCATTTGGATTATGCAATTCTCCTGTAACATCCCAATGGTTGGTGGAGTGTGCTCTGTCTGTACTATTTTGGAACGTCGTATTCATTTACTTAGATGACATAATTGCACATGAGAATATCTTTGATAATACTTATGAAGAATTGAAGAAGATTGTGGATTGGTTGAGGAAAGAGAGCCTTAAGGTGAATCCTAAAACGTGTGAACTATTCTATCAACATGTGAATTTCCTGACACACACTCAGCAGAGAAGGAGTGTCTACAGATCCACCAAAGATTAATAGTGTTAAAAATTGGCCAACATTAAAGAAATTGCATGAGGTAAGATTTCTTGGACTGTACTTATACTGTTGCCATTTTCTAGTTCATTCTCTACACATATTATTTGAAAAGCCAAATAGTTTTGATGGACTGCTGATTGTAAGCAAGCATTCAAAAAATTAAAAGAGGAATTGACCTCTACTCCTATGTTGGCATACTCAGATTTAGAAGGCCCATTCATTATAGATACAAATACCAATGATTTTGCAGTGGGGCAGTAAAACACGTAAAAGAACACTATAGCAAAGCAATGAATACCACAGAAAGGAGGTATTGTACAACGTGAAGAGAACAATCACGTAATGTTTGAGCCCAATGTCACTTCCATCATTATCTATGTGCACAAAAGTTTACTCTTTGGACAGATAGTTCATGCAGCACTTAAATGGCTCGTGTAGTTTAGTAATCCAGAGGGCCAAATAGCAAGATGGCTTCAGAAAATTCAAGAGTATAACGTTTACATCATGCATCACCCTGAATGGAATTATAAAAGTGCTGATGCATTATCCCAAATACCACGAGTCAAAGAAGAATGTAAACACTGTGAAAAGAGTGAAGCACAAGATAGTAAAGATTACCAACCTAAAGCACAGTCTAAAATGTGGCATCCACATGTGATGATAAAAAACTGATGTGGTCCAACACTCAACTGGAAGCTGCACAGGCAAAAGATACGAGTTTGGAATCAATTA